TGAGGGAGCCCAAGTGTAGAGAGCCAGAGTAGCCCACCCCCTCTTGGGGGATCAGCAGCAAGGCTGCTGTGAACTTTGGGTGAACTCCAACCAGAAGCAAAACCATAACAGGGGAATGTATATGTCTCGGAGAAGAGCAGTTGAACCTAGAGATAGATAACCAACTTTCATTGACCTTGCTGCAAGATAGTTGTTAGTTAAGGTATGTTAACTGAAGTATGAGAATTATAACCACAGGCTGTTGTGGGTAACTGCACCCTCCCTCTGCTATGTGCTTTGTCAACATATAAAATAAAGTACTTTGAGACAGGATGGGGCCAGACAAACCAATACTTTCACCTTCCTGGACTGCCTGGCCCCGCTTTTCTATGTTCGTCTTTGCATTTTTCTTCATCCCCCACCGTTCCCTCTTAGGTCTCTGAACCCTTGTGGAGCACAGCACATGCCAGACTGGAGTATTCAGTAGAGTAACATGCTATACAGTTTGTAACCTAGGAGCAATAGGCTATACCATATAGCCTAGGTGCGTACCAGGTTCTACCATCTACGTCTATGTAAGTCCACCCTACAATGCTTGTATGACAATAGAATTACCTAACACATTTCTCAAAATGTACCCCCATCATTAAGTAATGCATGACTGTAATAAAAACTGGGGGAAAAAAAATCAAGAAGAAAATAAAGAACAACATAAGCAAGTTTCTAAAAAAAGAGAAAAACAGGTAAATACCAGACAAAAAGCTAAAGAAATAAAAAGCTGTTATTTCTAAAGAGTGAAAATTGGGGTGAGAATTGGCAGCAAGGTAGATTGTGGTTTTTCTCACAAAAATTTTAAATTTAAATATGCATGAGTAATTAAAAGAACCTATCAGCCAGGCATGGTGGCTCACGCCTGTAATCCCAGCACTTTGGGAGGCTGACGTGGGTGGAATACCTGAGGTCAGGAGTTTCAGACTAGCCTGGTCAACATGGCAAAACCCCATCTCTACTAAAAAATTACAAAAATTAGCCAGGTGTGGTGGTACACACCTATAATCCCAGCTACTTGGGAGGCTGAGGCAGGAGAATCACTTGAACCTGGGAGGCGGAGGTTGCAGTCAGCCAAGATTTCGCCACTGCACTCCAGCCTGAGCAATGGAGTAAGGCTGTCTCAAAAAAGAACCTATCTAAAATAGAATACAGCAACTGATTAGAAAAGTCATGATTATAGAAAGAGATGCAGAAAAATATTCCATGTAATACTCTGACTTAAGAAACTATCAAAAATTGTTCCCTTAGTATACTAAGAAAAACAAAAGAATATCTGTAATTCAATATAGGTTATCACTTAAAAACCACCTGGTACAGGAAAAGAAGACCATCATCACCCCTCCTATTCAGCATTGAAGGGAGAAAGTAGCCTAGCCAGAGCATTAAGACAAGGAACAAGAAAAAAAAGATGCATCTCACAATAGAAACAAAACCTCTCTGGTACCTAGATATAAATCTATTAAAAGATATGCAATGTCCATTTCTCATCTGTGATGCTGCACGATAGTTATGCAGGACATTACCATTGGGGGAAAGTAGGTAAAGGACATAAGGAATCTCACTGAATTACTTCTTACAGCTGTATGTCAATCTATAAATATTTCCAAATTAAAACTAGAAACAAAAAGGTAACTCTATGACAACAACTTTTTGGTAGAAAATAAAAGACCCAAGTATACAAGCAATATATACCATGTAAACCGGTACCGAGATTAAGTATCAGCAAGATACCAAGCCTCCTAAATTAATCCATAAATTCAACACACTTCTAATAAAAAATCCAAACACATTTTTTTGGTCAAATATGATAACCTAAATCTGAACTCACAGCGAAGTGGGTCAAGAATAGCCTAGACAATTTTGAAGAACACAGAAGTAGAAAGACACTCTAATCAATGTTTATTATAAAGCTGTGATATTAATATGAATGAGTCTCTGGTACATAGAGATACAAATATATCCCAATAATAAAAATAAAAGCCAGAAACAGATTCTTTAGAAGGGAATTTGGCATATCAAAGAAGGGAGACTTCCAAGCAGTAGGTAAACATTGGATTATTCAACTAATAATTCTGGGACAACTGACCATCATATGGAAAACAATCAAATTAGACCTTTAGGGTATGAAAGGAGTCCCTAAGACCTCAACAGACCAAACTGAAGGAGACTGTTAAGTTAAATTTCAGAATATGTAAAACTTTTATAAGACTACAGAGATGGCCGGGCGCGGTGGCTCAAGCCTGTAATCCCAGCACTTTGGGAGACCGAGACGGGTGGATCACGAAGTCGAGAGATCAAGACCATCCTGGTCAACATGGTGAAACCCCATCTCTACTAAATACAAAAAATTAGCTGGGCATTGTAGTGCGTGCCTGTAATCCCAGCTACTCGGGAGGCGGAGGCAGGAGAATTGCCTGAACCCAGGAGGCGGAGCTTGCGGTGAGCCGAGATTGCGCCATTGCACTCCAGCCTGGGTAACAAGAGCGAAACTCCGTCTCGGGGGGGGTAAAAAAAAAAAGACTACAGAGATCTAGAGAAGTGAAGAATAAAAGCTCCTCTTTGATAAGATCAGAATTATATTCTCAGGAAAATATCTTGCATCACATTTTAAAATAAAAAAACTGAATATTTTCATGACAACAGACGTATATGGTAAAATTATAAACATAAGCAAAGGAAAGACAGTCACCAACTTCAAGACAGTAGTCGTGTATGAGAAACAAGAGTAAGTGATGGATAAGAAGTGATTCCTTAAGATGTATTTGTAATACTGTATCTATCTACAAAAATAAGTTTGAAGTAAAGATAGCAAAATGTTAATGCCTATTAATTCTGGGTGGTGGGTATATAGGTGTCTAATATCAACTTCCTGTATTCTTAAAATATTTCTTTTTTTTTTTTGAGAGTTTTGCTCTTGTTACCCAGGCTGGAGTACAACGGCACGATCTTGGCTCACCGCAACCTCCGCCTCCTGGGTTCAAGCAATTCACCTGCCTCAGCCTCCTGAGTAGTTGGGACTACATGCGCATGCCACCATGCCCAGCTAATTTTTGTATTTTTAGTAGAGACGATGTTTCACCTTGTTGACCAGGATGGTCTGCATCGCTTGACCTCATGATCCACCTGCCTTGGCCTCCCAAAGTGCTGGGATTACAGGCATGAGCCACCGCGCCTGGCCAAAATATTTCTTAATTAATGAAAATACATACAATACAGCAAAGATAGCCAAGAGTACAAAAAGTAAATAGATGAGACACTGGAAGCAAGGAGGGAAGAGGTGCAAGTGAGTGGAAGCTCCACAATTTATCCTGTATGGGTCAACAGGTGTTTATAGTTGATGAACCAGAAAACAGGAGTTGAGCATACTACAGTATCTAGAATTATGAAGGCAACCTGCAACAGATTTAAAATCAGAAAACCACCAGGTGAGTAAAAAGGAGTCTGTTGCTTTTCAAGTGTTTGACCATTTGAAATATTAACACATGCGCATTAGTTTGAAAATATATATTTATATTTATATATATTTTTTTGAAAAAAGGGAAAACATTAATGCTTAAATTGGAGACTTAAAAAAATTCCTATATAAACCCTAGAATAAATTTAAAATCAGGAGCTAAAGCTGTTACTCCTGGGAATTTCAAGATTTTTAATCATAAAAAGTCCTATGTGAGAGATTAATATTTTAATATGTTTCTTTGTACCTATACCCACATGTAGAAAAAAATTTTAAAAAAGTTTCCTTTTTGGTGGCACTATGTTTTTGTTATTCCTTCTCTGCTCAGCTTGTAAACTCACTTCACCCTCTGCTCTTTCGCCTCCCATCCGCCCTGCTCCCCACAGGGAAATAATATGAATTATACAGTGCTAATTCTTTCATATTTTCAAGCACATACATTCTTATACAATTATAATACTATGATTCTCTATGAGAGGATATAGATGGTACATGTGATTGTGTGTGTGTGTGTGTGTGTGTTTGTAAGTGATTATTTGTTTTCCCAAAATAGGCTATATACTTCCTCTATAAGTGTCTTCCTACTGAGTAGTTCTTCATGGAATTCCATCTAAGTCCACTGATATGACTCTAATGTATTCTTTTTAGTTACTGAATAATATTCCATGACATGAACGTATTACACATGATTCACTTTTTATGTGCCCATGAAGAAAGTTATGTGCTAGCTATATATTTGTTATTTGTTATATCACTCTTGACTATAGTATTTCAGGCTGAATATATACATACATACATATATATTTTACACACACACACACACACACACGCACTCTGCATATTTCCTAAAAGAAGAAGACTTTATTTGTGGAGCACAATGGCGAGATCTTGGCTCAACATCCCCCTCCTGGGTTCAAGCAATTCTCCTGCCTCAGCCTCTGAAGTGGCTGGGATTACAGGCATGTGCCACCATGCCCAGCTAATTCTGCATTTTTAGTAGAGACGGGGTTTGTCCATCTTGGTCAGACTGGTCTCCAACTCCCAACCTTAGGTGATCCTCCTGCCTTGGCCTCCCAAAGTGCTGGGATTACAAGAATGAGCCACCTCGCCAGGGCTTAATAGCTTTTATGGAGAAAATGCTCATGAAAATAAAGACCAAACAAATGTAGTTTTTAGTCTAAAGGTGAACTAGTGGGAAAATGAAATGTTGGATTACTGCTTCTTTTACAGAGGCCTCTGAAACTTCTGAGAAGCCCTAGATCGTCATTCTAATTCAGCAATTCTCAAACTTTCTAAGGGTAATCTAATCACCTTCACTTGGTATAGACACAAAATGGAAGCTAAAACACATCGTCAAACCATCTCATTAAGGAATTTGTTTCTTTACATGGTAAGTACATAAAAACTTCTGCTTATTCATTAGCAAAGCAAAAAAAAAAAAAAAAGTTCTTACTTAAAAATCAGAAGTTGAATCAATTTCCAAAACCTTTTCCTTAGCTTAAAAACAAACACAACTGTGCTTGCTTCAGCAGCACATACCCTAAAACTGGAACAATACAGAGAAGATTAGCATGGCCCCTGCACAAGCGTGACAAGCAAGTTCGTGAAGCGTTTCATATTTTTAGAAATACCTAATGTAGGTGACGGGGGATGGAGGCAGCAAACTACCATGGCATGTGTATCCCTTTGTAACAATCCTGCAAGATCTGCACATGTACCTGGAACTTAGAAATAATAAAAAGAAAAAAAGACTAAAACTAATATAAGCTTTCATGTGATATTACTTTCTAGGGTGATTGTAACAATGTATCACAGGCAGTGGTTTAACAAGGGAAACGTATTATCTTGCAGTTCTGAAGATCAGAAGTCTGTGACTAAGGTGTGGGCAGGGTTGGTTCCTTCTGAGACTGTGAGGAAGAGTTGGTTGCACGCCTCTCCCCTAGCTTCTGGTGGTTTTGGTTTGGTTTTTTGAGATGGCATCTCTCTCTGTTGCCCAGGCTGGAGTACAATGGCATTGTCTCAGCTCACTGCAATTTCCAACTCCCAGGTTCAAGCAATTTTCCTGCCTCAGCCTCCTGAGCAGCTGGGATTATAGGTGCCTGCCACCACACCCAGCTAATTTTTGTATTTTTAGTAGAGGCAGGGTTTCACCATGTTGGGCAGGCTGATTTCGAATCCCTGACCTCCGGCGATCTGCCTGCCTCATCCTCCCAAAGTGCTGGGATCACAGGTGTGAGCCACAGCACCCAGCTGAGAGTGCTTTGTTTCACTCAACTGTCATGCTTCTATATAAGCTGCACTTCATTGCCAGCACAGCAGTGGTTACCCAAGTGGTTCCATCCCCATTGCTCTCATTACATGAGATCACCTGATCCCACCACCCACCCTCCCAGTACCTAGGCAGTTGTCACTGCAGGTTCTCAATCTGACTTGATGATATTCTTCCTCTGATATAGTGGCACCCTGGCCAACGAATGCCTCCAGCCCTCCTTTTCCAAGTCCTGCCTTGTTCTCCCAAGATTGAAAAGGGGCAAACATGATGTTTTAGCTCAGGCCTCCATAGTGCAATGGGTGCTTTTAACCACACATTGAGCAGCTCCTCCTATCTTAGATCCCATTAGATCTGGAACGCTCCCATAATCATAATGTCAAAGCTCTACAAAATGCATTTTTAATTCCTAGAACGAAATGAACTGAAATCCAACTTCTGGAGCAGTGCATTTGTGTAGCCAGTGAACTAGCCACAGAAACGTTCCAGCAGTGACTGTGCTCACAAATGAATGCTGTCAACATCTTACAATATATTTAACAAAATCCGGTAGACTGCATACACAGAGACGAGCTTTCAGGGTCATGGAAACATGGACTGAGAGGGACCTTTAAAAGAAAAGAAGACTAGGTGCCTTCTTGGATGTGTGATATGGGAAAGAAAATCCAACGGGATGATTAGGTGAAGGTTAATTTAATGTCTCAACTTGGCTAGGTTGCGGTGCCCAGTAGTTTATCAAACACCAGTCTAGGTGTTTCTGTGGTTATTTCGTAGATGTAGTTAACATTCACAGTCAGTTTACTTTAAGTAAAGTCAATAATATCTCCTCAAATCAGGCCTTAAGATTAAAAACTGAGGTTTCCTGGAAGCGAAAGAATTCTGCCTGAGGACTAACACAGAAACTGTGCCTCAGTTTCCAACTTGTAGGCCCACCCCATGCATTTTGGACTTGCCAGCCCCCACAATCATGTGAGCCAATTCCTTAAGGTAAAGTCCCTTCTCTAGGTAGATTGATTGACATAAGCAATGCTTCAAATAGATATGAAACAGGTGTGTGTGTGTGTGTGTGTGTGTGTCTGTCTGTCTTATTAGTTCTGTTTCTCTGAAGAACCCTGACTGACAGCTTCGTCCTTTTTTTCTATAGAGACAGGGTCTCAAGCTCCTGGGATCAAGCCATCCTCCCAGCTGGGCCTCCCAAACTGCTAGGATTGCAGGCATGAGCCACCTGACCCAGCCAGATTCATTCTTAATGGTGGTCAAAAGAACAGGATAAGTTGTGTGAATAAGTTGTTCATTGAATAAGCAATGAACAAACTGAGGGGCTAAAACAGAATCTTTTGCAATTTTTTACTCTGAGAAAGAAAGAGAAAGATAATGACACTTGATAACTCCAAATGGTGTGCATCCACTTGGAAGTTGCATGAATAAGGCAAAATCCTAAGGAGGATGTATGTCTAAGATGCTTCTTAAGTCGACAGAGCTCAGATCCAAGGATAGAATAAATTCTCAACCTACTTCTACAAATAAATGCTTAGAAAATTCCCCCGTTGACAGGCCATAAACATAAGGTGGACTTTCCTTCCATCTCTACACAGTTCTTGAAAAGATGCAATAAGTAGGTTATTCCAGCCTCAAAGGCACTGAGATGAATTATGGATGACTCAGTGGATAGAACTGAATAGATAAAAATGTAAATCTTTCAATGGCTGTTTGGAGCTATGTTTCAAAAGAAAAAGAAAGTAAATCTTCTGGGTCAAAAATAAGCTAATTAAATCAAAACTCAAAAGACAAGCAATAGATCAGGGGAACTATTTATTGCTAATATGAAACAGAATTAATAGTTTTTACATCTAAAGAGATTATAACATTCAGTAAGAAAAACCCCAGTAGATAACTGCAAAGATTCCTACCAGACAATTCTCAAAAACAAGTTATATAAATGGATGGCAAATATTTGAAAAAAAGTTCGGAGAAATGCAAAATGCCCTTTTAATGCATATATATCCACCCATAATCTTAATAAATAAATTGATTTAAAGATGCCTTAGGCTGGGCATGGTGGCTCCCGCCTGTAATCCCAGTATTTTGGGAGGCCAAAGCGGGTGGATCACTTGAGGTCTGGAACCAGACTAGCCTGGCCAACATGGCGAAACCCCATCCTTACTAAAAATATAAAAATCAGCTGGACATGGTGGCAGGTGCCTATAAACCCGGCTACTCAGGAGGCTGAGGCAGGAGAATTGCTTGAACCCGGGAGACAGAGGTTGCAGTGAGCTGAGATCGCACCACTGCACTCCAACCTGAATGACAGAGTGAGACTCTATCTCAAAAAAAAAAAAAAAGGAAGAAAAACTTGATTTAAAGACCACTTAATAGGCATATGCAGTAGTACATGCCTATAGTCCCAGCTACTCTGGAAGCTGAGGCAGGAGGATCTCCTGAGGCCAAGAGTTCTTGGCAGAAGTGAGCTATGATCCCACCTGTGAATAGCCATTGCACTCCACCCTAGGTAACACAAGGAGTACATTAAAAGGAAAAAAAAAAATAGATCCTTTAATATAAAGTAAGGAACATACAGATAATCTCAAGGTTTTAATTCTTACTCTTACAAAAAACAAAATGTTTAATATATGATCTATTTTGTGCATTTGTAAATGATTAGATTTGTTGTAATGTACTTTATGAGGCTTTTATAATCTACAGCAATTCAATTATCATCAAGCACAGTGTTTAAAAAATTCTCAATATGAAAATCAGGTGACAAAGTTGTAACAGTAATAAGTTGCGATTACCAGTGAATGTATCTCTTTTCTGTTGTTTAATAATGAATGGCAACATCAGTTGAAACAGACATCTGGTTTAGCATATTGATTCCCTTTACCAACCCCTCCCCTCTGACTGGTAGTCATTTATTTTCAAAATATCATTTCCCACTAAAGAAATTAGCTGGCAAACTACCAAGAGGAAGTGTATTTCACTAAACGAAGTTCCTGAAAGGCAGCTTTTGTTTTGTGCTTCTTTTTGCTCTGCCAGCAACTTCAGACTATGAGAAAGTGCATGCTCTACACTGCATAGCATAAAACAGTTCTGAACTATTCCAGAAGGTACAGCCGCTGATAGATACAAAGTACAAAGCGGGAGTGAGGGGGGAGGCTGAGGAGAGAATGAAGGAAATTGGAAGAAAGGATCTGTTGTTGCTTTTGAAATTCACAGGAATTTGTCCACGTTCAGTGAAGAACCAGGCACTAACTATTGGAGAAAGGCTGGTGTATTATGAAAGCAAAGAATCAGAGGTGGAAGTATAAATAAGGCCTATGAATGAGGTAATGAGAAGGGCCAGGCTCTGTGAAAACATAGTGAGCTATCAAAGATGTCCTGAAGGGGACTTTGCTGCGAAACTCCTTAATGAAAGGCATCCCACAGACTTGCTGGAAAAAAGAGAGGCTAGACTGGGTTGGGTTGCTCACTCCTGTAATACCAGCACTTTGAGAAACCGAGGCAGGTGGATTGCTTTAGATCAGGAGTTCGACACCAGCCTGGCCAACATGGTGAAATCCTATCTCTATTAAAAATATAAAAATTAGTCTGGCATGATAGGGCACATATGTAATTCCCAGCTACTCGGGAGGCTGAGACAGGATAATTACTTGAACCCAGGAGGCGGAGGTTGCAGTGAGTCAAGATCACACCACTGCACTCCAGCCTAGGTGACAGAGCAAGACTCCATCTTAAAAAACAAAAAACAGGCCGGGCGCGGTGGCTCAAGCCTGTAATCCCAGCACTTTGGGAGGCCGAGGCGGGTGGATCACAAGGTCAAGAGATCGAGACCATCCTGGTCAACATGGTGAAACCCCGTCTCTACTAAAAAATATACAAAAAATTAGCTGGGCATGGTGGCGCATGCCTGTAATCCCAGCTACTCAGGAGGCTGAGGCAGGAGAATTGCCTGAACCCAGGAGGCGGAGGTTGCCGTGAGCCGAGATCGTGCCATTGCACTCCAGCCTGGGTAACAAGCGCGAAACTCCGTCTCAAAACAAAACAAAACAAAAAAAACAGTGAGGCTAGATGAGAAATTCGAGGCTAGAGAATCAATGTTGAAGTGCTGATAACAGGAGCATATCTATGTATGCAGCTAACAGTGTACCAGCTGACACACCACTCATTGCCAATTGCCTGCCTGAGACAGGAGATTGGGAAAGACAGTTTATGAGATGAGGGGCAGGGGGCCAGGGTATGGCCGGGGTATGACTTGTCCTTGAGGGAAAGCAGAGTGTGCTGTGTTCCTGTGGCCTCAAAGGGTGTTGATAAGAGGAAGAAGCAAGACAGAAGGAAGAGAAGTGGTGGGAAAAAAATA